AAAAAAAAAAAAAAAAAAAAAAAAAAAAAAAAAAAAAAAAAAAAAAAGCATCTGGCTGTACATTTTATTATGATGATCGTGATTAATAATCGGCGATTTATCGGGCACATGATGTATAAGTGCATGTGTACACACAGCCCATTTGACTAATTCTACCGTCACGAGCGCGCATGAGGTTTCTCTCCTTGGATGACAATTGCCTAGCTCAAACGGAACCTTAAATAAGTATATAATATACGTATATGAACGATGAGAACGTGTCTTCTTCTTCTTTGGTATCCGTGTCAAGCGCCGATTCGCGGATGGATTTTCCCTTCCGAGCGCCGGCGATTTTCATAATTTAGCGTCACAGAGGAGAGATGATTATAATTAATGGACGTACACCGCTGGAGGCTTTGCACGGCGCGACGAGCTCGATTTGTTGTATATGTTTACAATGAGTTTGGTTTTGTCAAGATTGATGTTGTTTTTTTTTGTTTGTTAGGGCGCTCGTGTGTGCTGGAGGTGATTGTTGTCGCGGGTCATACTTTCTACGGGATGAGTGTGTAAGTATGCTATCTGCACAGGTATTTGAAATATAATAGTTTCCGTGACGGGTCACACATCGTTTATTTTATTTTTCAGGATATTTTTCAAGAAACAAAATAGAGGTAGTTTAACCAATGTTGTTTCGCATCATCGTTAAAACGTTCATTATAAATTTACCGATACAATTATTTGGTTTTCTTTTCGAAAAATCGGCACCGATAAACTGTCCGCGAATCTCCCGATCGCATCTGTCGCATAGACGCGAGAAAACTCGGGTACCCGACATCCCTCGGACGAATTGTCCATCGCGAAAAAATCCCCCGGGACAAAAAAAAAGAGCCATACGTCCGACGCGCACGTACGATGGTACAGGCAATTTGTAGCGCGCGAGAGCAAACCGATTCCCCGGTAAAAACGAGACCGCGTGTAATAGTTTAAAAAACAAATAACAAAACGAGTGCTCCTTCCCCGTACATTTTCTTATTTAATTTAACTCGACTCGAGGGGGGACAAAAAGCCTCGTCCGAGGCACTTTCGCTTTTTTTTTTTTTTACACCGAAGCGCAAAGGGGGGGGGGGGCTAAGATGATTCAACGCGGTCTTCGTTAGAGGAGCCCCTGATGGATGTAGTGTACTTCTCGGGGATTAATTAACGTCGCCGCTGCAGCTGATGAGTCTCAAATTGAGCGAGTGCCATGACGATGCTGATAAAAACGTCCACCTAATTGCATAGCCCCGAACAAAATTCCATGACGTGTCGCGTATACAAAAAAAAAAAAAAAAAAAAAAAGAAACTCCACATACAACATATTCTGATGTAACAGAAAAATAAATAGTCTAGGTACATGTACCCACTAATTTTGGTAACTATATATTGTAATGGCATCGAATTAAAAGATGACCATTTGGTACAATCAACCTCCTGAAAAACTCTTTCGAATACTTACATATACAGGTACACAGTAAAGTCCTTGGGCGTCGTAAATACAAAATCACGCAAGAAGAGACCAAAGCAGCCGTATGGGTATATATAAATATATACACCATGTAAGCCACATTGCCGCACGAGACTCGGAAATCCTATTTACCCCTCCTGCTCCTCAATCCGTACGTATATAGATCTACTCATGGATATAATATTCTGGCAAAAAATCACGTAATAGCCGTAGTACCTATATATACCTACAAGCACACCCCAGCGCGATCATCATCTCCTTTTTCATCCTCTCTACTGCACGCACGATAGGTATGCACTTACGCACGCACGCACGCAAGTTCAAGTTCAAACGATCCACGGTATAAAATGTACTGCACGCGACTATATAAATTCGTCTTCCTATCTACTTGGGTATTATACCGACTCCTTTTTTTTTTTGTCTCTATTTTCTTTCGCTACGCAAAAAGATTGCGCAATCCAAGGTGTAAGTATAGGTGTACCTTTGCGATCGCGTGACGGACTGCGTACAAATATGTATATATGCAACACATAAGCGAGCAAAGTTCATCGATCCGCGATCGAAAGACAGGGAGAAAGGAACCGAGCGTTGCAGCGGCACACACACCCACGAGATAGTACCTATACACATGTTACACAGTTCGGCCCCTTTTTTGAGAGTCAACTATCATAGGAAGCGTGTCTATAAATTACAAGTATTGCAGGCACCCAAATGCATAAGTACAATCCGTTGCTTTGATTTCCCTTTTTCTTCCGTCGATTGCTGCCGCGGGGATACGCGGAATCGGCACTGTGCTGCTGCTCTCGTGAAACTGTACGTATAAAGGGCCGCACGAAATTGGTATTGGATAAATTACGTAACCAAGGATATTACAGGATTGCGTATGCACATACGCCAAAAATTAACGAAACCACGAACAAGGACGTGGACGTCTCCCCCCTCTGCCCCCCTCGTATACATAAACAATGATCGGTATCATTAAGACTCTCTGACGTTTGTTTTGACCGTTGCAGGATGTATACTTACATATATATATATATATGGGTATTATATATCTGACAAAGCTCAGATGCCAGCATCCACTTGGGACATAAATCTCTGTAAGTATATATGTATATATATATTATGCTCCGTAAAGTGACTCGTACACGATAATCCACGAGCGCGTGCCGATATCGCCGCGTCCGTTTCACTTCCCAATGTACACCCACATGTATATATTTACACACACATTTACCTATCCTCGTATCTTTTTTTTTTTTTGTTTTGTTTTTTTTTTTGCATACAGGTATATATTATTATCTGTACCACCTATGCAAAAAGCACCAAACTCACGAGCAGGTATATCCATTGTGGGCATGTTATATGCACATCACGGGGAGAACAATAAAATGCTTTGCTCTCTGAAAGGGCGAACTCGCGATTTGATGGCGCCCACGCGACTCGTGCAAGTATACCGGCTGAATTTACGATCAAAGATTGTACACGCACGTGTGTAATAATACACAATAGGCTATACGCATATATACACATATGGTGTGATGCTCTCTGCCCCCGCGAGCAAATGCGCCATCACCCTGTCATTACATATAAATACCTGCATTGTATATTGTACACGTATATTATACGAGTTGGTTAAAAAAAAAAAAAAAAACAAGAAAAAACTCACTTGGCGTAGGCCTTTTCGAGCAGAGCCGGCCAGAACTGTTCGGTATGCCGGCTCTGGACAAAGGCCAAGCGTCCGTGCACGGCGGGCAGCCGATCGTCGACGAGCACCTCGACCCAGGCGCCGCACCACCACAGCCGAAACCGAAAAACCCCGGCGTACTCGCTGCTCGGGGAATTCGTCTCGCTGACCGCGCCGCTGCCGAAGCACTGATCGGCCGGTACGACCCTGTAAAAGAGGCCCTTGCTCAGGTGGAGCACTCCGAGACAGGACACCAGCCATTTGTCCCCTGCAATTGAAACGAGTATCATATAATTGAGCATTGTTTAGGCATATTGATGATCTTAAGGTATATACAAAACGCGGAAACTTTGCGGATACACCTACGCAATAATGGATACTCGGAAAAGTTTGCGCAACGGGATATATCTCTTAAATTTGCTCCCAAAGGCATACTTGCCGCATACACAGGTACACACATTTTGCTTTTCCTTACCGATTTCAAGTGGCGTACAAACGGGAGTATGCGAAATGCAGCTTTTGTCTGCTGAAAACATGTATTTCGGGAATGCCTGGCGCGACAAGAGGAAATTTCTCGGAGACGATCAATCTCTGGTGGCTTTTGGCTTCTGATCGAGTGTACCGTCGCGATGGGGTGTTTTTTTTTTTTGCACGACCAAAAAAATAAAACCCTCTGTTCGTTGAATCGGGAGATCGGAAAAATTAGCGAGATAATATATACTCACGTCCGTTGAGTAGGTACACAGCACAAAACGTTTGTACAAGAGCAATTCACCTTTCGAATCTCCCGTGTGTATATTTACTTACGTACATGCGCGCATCCACCTGTACATATATATATATGGGCGATCGCCACAGATTTATGTATAGCTCGAGTGTTCCTGTGTACTTACCTATATATGTATAGGTATATAATTGGTGTGCGCCTCGTATAATACAAATCCCCGCACGCGACGCCGTAAGAGACATATAATATTCGGTGTTGGTGGGTGAAAGTGAGTCGTATGATATATATATATAATAAAGCAATGGGCAAGAGATCGAGATGATCGAGGAAAGGAGTCAGCCGGAGGAGGAAGTTTTATGTATCGTCGCGCGGGAGAAAGAGAGAATTTTTAAGAGAGCCAGGATCTGTTGATTTGGTCAAGCTGCTGTGGCATAAGTCGCATTTGCACCGATGAAGTGTTTTTTGACGCGTTATCGGTGGAGGGTGAGATGACCAGAGCTGCCATATTATAAGATATATTCATAAAGCTGTCAATATTTGATTCAGTCTTTATAATTATACGTATAGTACAGCAGTGCTCATTGTTATCGCCCATGCAAAGAAAAATGAAATGACATCCGGAACAGCGACAAATAAATTAATCTGCATAATGTGCTTTCTCGCTTTCACTCTCCAAGGTGGATCAATATACATCCGTTTCGATGGTATATATAACACGGTATAAACAGTTTTGTGATCTAGATGTTTTTTTTTTTTTCCTTTTTTTTTTTTTTTTTTATTAACGAACTGTGTGCAAATTACTCTCTGTTTTCCTTTTATGTAAAATTCCCGCTCAATTTATGTCCATCACATCTCCCAATTGATCACTTGTAAATATATCATGAAGTGTTACTTGAAGAATAAACTCGATTGATGTTGTACCCATGGTGAGTAATTTTCAATAAATCCATGGATATGACTCGTCCAAAAAGAAGGTTCTTTTGTTGCAAGTCCATCTACTTGCAGTTGGCGTCGATATACTTAGTGTAATCCACGAGAAGTACTTAAGCTGAAACTTGGATTTTCTCTACATACACACGTCAGTAGAGCCCGAGACCAGTTTGTGTACGGCTTTTGAATACAGTATAGGTATACTACTATTTTCCTTCCTCCGAGAAAATCTATCACCATAGGCTCGCTCGCAAGTCTACGGTGTGAAATTTAGCGAGACAACTATATTTTTTTTTTTTTTTTGCACGATCTCTCATTTGTCTCAAGCGCGCGTGCAGCCACTTGGAAATTTCGGAAAACAACCCTTGAGTAAAACATAATATTTCTGGCTTACGCAAGCTTTTGCACGTAGAGTTTTCAAAATCGTACGTGTTATACGCGGAGAATCCGGAGATCAAGAGAATTTCTCAAGTGTTTTTCTTTTCTTCCTCTCCACCGCGTTTTCGACCGACACTTTCACCACTTTAGAAAGTCGCGCGACAATGTTTGTGTACATATACGTTTATACCAACTCACCTCTCCTCGAAAATTCGTATACATGTCAAGCTCACTTGTACTCTATACATTCCGCACGTGTGCATATATACACCGATAAATGCATGAATCATCGTTATGGCTTTTAATCGGTCACTACCGAGATGATGATAAAGACAAACAAAAAAAAAGTTCTGTAACAGACTTTTGCCATTAGAAAGTCAACAGAGAGCGCGCATACGCGTATACTCGTGTATGAAGAATAATTGGTGTAAGATAGGTGCATGTGTGTTTATTATACTCATAATACATTCAAATCTAGTTTTGGCGTCTTCTCGTGTTACGCGTGAAAAATCAAAGGAAGATCGCGAGTCTCTTTTTAATCAATCGAGTCGTGCCGTTCAAAAGTGTATCCTCCACACGTCCGGGTGTATTATTATTATTTGCATCGGACGTCAAAATCCCCGAAAAAAAATCGAGATGTAAACAGGATCATTAAAATGATAATCGAAGGTTTCGCCTCGAGATTTAAAATTTCCGCATGTTTGGCGCGTGAGTCACATTTTCACAGTAGACTAAAAAATAAAATATACATAAGAAATTGTATCGACCAATGTATTTGGCGTTACGTGGGGTCAGATTTCGAAATAATTCCCATTTTCCAAGAGAAACCGTTGCAACGCGAAAATATTCCATATTCCCCGATGGTGGAGTAGCGCATAAATCGGCTGATAAAAAAGTTTCACCGAAAACATTCGGTCGAAGGAAAAGAAAGAAAATCGCTGGTGAAAATTGCCGTTCGGCAATCGGTACAATTAGGTCGCGATTAGTCAAACATCCACAACAATAACGTACACAGCGACAACGACGGGGGTCAGCTTTTTTTTTTTCTCCACTAGAAATTCCCGACGCGCTCGGACTGCCGATGAGCTTTCTATACTCTCGAACGGATCGTGACGCCAATGACAAAAACAATAATCGCAGCGGTGACCGGTTGATTCGTGACCGGATGGACGAATTATTCCCTCTTGCCATGCCGATCGAGGCATTTGGGGAAGAAAAAAAAAATCGGTACATAATAAGAAATAATATGCGCGTGTACCTGTAACGTGCCTGTATCTCGTAATGCTCGACTCTTACTTTCGTTTCGTAAAATCACTTTTATTCTCGGTGCGGATAACCCGCGAGTGCCTCGATTTCTCCCTCGCGAGGCACACGAAGGATTAATGAGCGAACAAAAATCGGACGCGTTATTTTTCTCGTCCACGTGTTTAATTGGCACGGATTCTAATTGAGATATAGCTTCGAGCACGGGACGCGGAATTGGAAAGTAAGACGAATTAAACGCGTTTAATTACCCGTTCTATACGACACTCAAGATCGACCAAGTAGTTTATCGACTTTCAAAAATCCTCCATGTGGGGCATTTCCTTTTTTTTTCAGTCTCTTGTTAGTAAACATTCGCACGAGCCTTAAAAAAAAGGGCTCATCGGTAAGCGTCGGAAACAAAAATCGATTTGCCTTCACAGCAAGCATATTCGACAGGAAGTTCGGTTTTGTATGCGTTCGATGACTTACTCACGAGCCTGTACGTCCATCACCGGGCTGTTGTTGTTGGGGCGTGACGACAGCCACAATGGCACGCGGCCAAATATTTTTCCATTGCGTTACTCACAAACGAAAGGGGAATACAATTATTTGCCATATAGAGTCGATGATTGAAAAAGGTGCGACGCAATATTTTTACTGCGGCTCAACGAAAGGTCTAAAACTTGATATGTTTCCTTGTACAACTATAATTCTTTGTGCACAGCTGACTGATTGTGAATCTCCGAAGGTATTGTTATTTTTGCGTATAGAAAGCGCCACGCCAAATCACACCGTCAATAATATTATTATAAAACAATTATACGGTACGAGCCATTGTGGGCGCTTACAACTACAGTGCAAACTCGATGTACCGCAGCTTCGAGAACACAATGGGTCGTTGCACCATATTGTATACAATGTGCTCGACATCCAATTTACAACGAGATGATCCGCGAAAAGTACGAATTTCTTATTCAGGAAACTAATGTATTGCGTGCGTGTGTAGGAGCGCGATGAAGCTTAACGCCTAAAATGTTAACAAACAAGATACGCGCGGCGCTTACTACGTCATATGTTTACAGAAACGTGCAGGTATAGTTAGATGTATTATATAATTGCAGGTTTTCACCGCTCGTATATTGCGAATCATCGCACGTGAAGGTGAAAACACACGAGCCGTGTAACGCGGAGCTGATTTTTTTTAACGAGTCTATGCGTGAAAATCGAATGATTCGTGTATTATTAGTACGAGAAAAAAAGAAAAAAAATTATTGGACCATCCACCACGTGAGAATAAAAGAAGAAAGTTTGGAGGTATATTTTAATTTGTTAAAGCGTCTGACCGTAGATCAGTTACACTATACGGAAAATAAAACACTATGCGATCGGTAACACGGGCATCGATCGATTTTGCTCTACTACTATTAGACTTGAAAATTTTGTAAAATTCATCAACAGATTTGCAAGTGATTAATTTCACCAACAGTGACCCGTTTGTATACTGGTGCCCACTCATATTTCTTCGACCTCGAAAGAAGCTTCGATCGAAAAAAAAAAAAAAAAAAAAAAAAAAAAAAAAAAAAAAAAAAAAAAAAAAA